TGGGGTCCGTCCACCGTGCCACTGAACCCATCTCGCTGGGCATAATTCCCTAGGCACGGCTGGCATGAGTGGCGGGTCGGTATTAGCATCCGGTGCGACGAGCAAGACAAATCACCAGCGGTGAGACAAAGACGGCCGGCCGGCTGGCCGTCGTGAGACGCCCGAACACACCGCTCACGAACAGGCACTTACCCCCCCCCCCCCACCGCCGACATTCTCCTCGCACTCGGCCAGCCCCCACGTTCTGCTCTTGGCTAACGATTTCCCGTACGATCGTTAACCCAAGCAGCAGCAGCAGCAGCAGCAAATCCCCGGGCTTGCCAGCCGGGCCTAATGGAATCTTGACGGAGAGGGCCACGGGGTTTCAGTGCGCGCTGTTAATTGACTTGCGGAGTACCGGATGGCATCGTTCGTAACGCGCCCGCACGTGCGAGCGTGCGCGTGCACGTGCGGGCGTGCGCGTGCGCGTGCACGTGCGGGCGTGCGCGTGCGCGCCGCCGCGGGAATCCCCGCGCGTCGTTCCGAACGGCACGAAGCGTTCCGTAGGGCGCCGTTAGCGCCGGCACGGCGATGGCGCGGTCGGCATCTCGCACTCGACTCACACACTCACACACACACACGCATGCACGCACTCACGCGCACACACACACACACGCACACACTCACGCGCACACACACACTCACACACACACGCACACACACACTCACGCGCACACACACACGCACACACGCACACACTCACGCGCACACACACACGCATGCACGCACTCACGCATGCACACACTCACGCGCACACACACACACGCATGCACACAGACACACACAGACGCATGCACACACATACGCATGCTCACACTCACGCGCACACACACACACACGCATGCACACACTCACACACACACGCACACACACGCATGCCCCCTCTCACGCGCACACACACGCACACACACGCACACACACGCATGCACACACTCACGCGCGCACACACACACGCACACACACGCATGCACACACTCACGCGCACACACACACGCATGCACACACTCACGCGCACACACGCATGCACACACTCACGCGCACACACACACACGCGCATGCACACACTCACGTACACACACGCATGCACACACTCACGCGCATGCACACACACTCACGCGCGCACACACACACACGCGCATGCACACACACACGCGCGCACACACACACGCATGCACACGCTCACGCGCGCGCACGCATGCACACACGCGCATGCACACAAGCACGCGCATGCACACACACGCACGCGCATGTACACACACATACACACACACACGCACATGCACACACACACGCGCATGCACACACACACATGCGCACACGCGCATGCACACACACATGCACACACACACACGCCGCCGTGCGTGCATGAACCGACGACTCAGCGGTTTGCCGCTGGCAGAAGGTGACGAGTCCAACCCCATCACTGATTGGAGGTTCACTCAGCACACATCACCCTTCCCTCTGGGATAAAATCGCTACCACTTTGTAGGAACGTCCAGGTGTTTTTTCTCTTCTTCTATGGATAGACCCTCCCCCGCCAGAGGAATGTGGAATTTCTGCCACCGGCTCAGGGTTGTGTACCGTGGCCGGCCTTCAAAGGTGCCGCTCGCTAACAGCACTTGCCCCCAACAGTCTGTGAAGGCTACACGGGTGACCTTTGTCTTGCGAGGGGGAGGGGAGACTCGTGGTGTCACTGGTTGAAGCGCAGCGCGCTAACCACTACGCCCACCGCTCCCCCGCACGGCCATTCACACACGCGCAGCACAGCACCGCTGGTTCGTGTGTACTGTTGTGTGTACTGTCGTGTGTACTGTCGTGTGATCTGTTGTGTGTACTGTCGTGTGATTTGTCGTGTGTACTGTCGTGTGTACTGTCGTGTGTACTGTTGTGTCATGTCGTGTGTACTGTCGTGTGACCTGTCGTGTGTACTGTCGTGTGTACTGTTGTGTACTGTTGTGTACTGTCGTGTGTACTGTTGTGTACTGTCGTGTGATCTGTCGTGTGACCTGTCGTGTGTACTGTTGTGTACTGTCGTGTGTACTGTTGTGTGTACTGTTGTGTGTACTGTCGTGTGACCTGTCGTGTGTACCGTTGTGTGTACTGTCGTGTGTACTGTTGTGTACTGTCGTGTGTACTGTCGTGTGTACTGTCGTGTGACCTGTCGTGTGTACTGTTGTGTACTGTTGTGTACTGTCGTGTGTACTGTTGTGTACTGTCGTGTGTACTGTCGTGTGTACTGGCGTGTGATCTGTCGTGTGTACTGTCGTGTGTACTGTTGTGTGTACTGTTGTGTGTACTGTCGTGTGTACTGCAAGCACATCCAGAGCTCGCGAATGGCGAGGGTCGATGCCGTGCCTGCTTGTTAATTGCCCTTTATTTGTGCTTCCCAAGCGTGGCAATGAGAGAGGGAAGTGGGCGTCTGCCGACAAAAACTAAATACGTGAGAACGTGACGCGTTTGGAGTCTCGGTAGTAGTGAGAGTGTCGCGGGAGGTCGACGTTTCGGTGTAGACGAGTCGACTGTGAAGTCTGATCAGGGGAAGTGTTGCGGGCTGCTGGGGCTCCCCAGAGCCATGGAATGATAACAGCTGTGCGGTGTTGTGTGTCATCAAACACCCCGCATCTCCCAAGGAGTCATCCTCCTGAATTCATCATCTTCACCACCATCATCATCATCATCACCTGCATCGTCGTCGTCAAAATCATCATCATCATCAAAGAAAAAAAAAACATTGTTCTTCATTATTTATTTAGTCTTCTTTGGGTCTTTCGGTAAAGTCACGTAGAATGAGAATAAAATAATAGATTAATAAAATGTTTAATTTTATTAATTTAAATTACTAAAATATTTTATTTTATTAATTTATTATTTTATTCTCATTCTACGTGACTTCACCGATAGAACCAAAAAGATGAATCCTTGCAGTCACGAAAGCTTTAAATCGATATTTATTTAGTGTCGTCTTTGCTATTACACATTTATCATTTCACTCCGACCAGGAACTTAACTTCATTATTCTCGTCGAAGGAGGCTCCTGCTTTCTGCGAAGTTTTCATTCGGCGAGCGTCTTCAGGAACGTAGCCCTCGTCGAATGGAGAGAAGCTTTACCATTCGGTGAACTTCTTTCGCACCATACGTAGCCAACCGTGTGCCAACAAACTAACGCACAGAAAGCAGTTCTAAAGAAACGAGTTTGCCGCTCGTTCCACGAACGCGGTTCGCGGAACGAGCGAACGAATTTGTCTCAGTTCGATTCTTTTATTCACTCACGAGTGACGCGAGGACACCGGGACGGGAGGACGGACCGGTGGTGCCGGGCTCGTGGCGACATGAATCTGTGTAAATAATAATAATAAGTGTAAATAATAATAAGTGTAAATAATAATATGTGTAAATAATAATAATCTGTGTAAATAATAATAATCTGTGTAAATAATAATCTGTGTAAATAATAATTATAATAATCTGTGTAAATAATAATATTCTGTGTAAATAATAATAATAATCTGTGTAAATAATAATCTGTGTAAATAATAATCTGTGTAAATAATAATAATCTGTGTAAATAATAATAATAATATTATGTGTAAATAATAATAATCTGTGTAAATAATAATCTGTGTAAATAATAATCTGTGTAAATAATAATAATCTGTGTAAATAATAATAATAATCTGTGTAAATAATAATAATATGTGTAAATAATAATAATCTGTGTAAATAATAATTATAATAATCTGTGTAAATAATCTGTGTAAATAATAATATTCTGTGTAAATAATAATAATCATTTACATCGATCCGTAAGGCGCCGTCCGCCAAGGAGGAGAAGCCAAATAGAATGCATTGACTGAAGAGGGTGTGGGTTTCAGACGAGACTTGAACGTGTCCACATTGTCGGCCGGGGTAATGCGAGGAGGAGAAGAGACCCCAACGGTAACGCCGACTCGGCCGTGGGCGGCTGCCACCCTACACGGCGAGGTCTCGCCACAGGATCACACGGAGGGCGCACCGGGGTGGAGACTGTGGTGGTGGTGGTGGTGGTCCCCTTAATAAATAAACGTCACGAAGCAGCAGACCTTAAAGAGCCACGGCATGCGACTCCGGAGCCGCGGGGTCTGCCGACCGCAGCTGCGTTAGTCCCATCAGCCTCTTGGCTTCCAGTCAAGTGGCAGCAGCAGCAGCAGTGTTTGTCAACAGCCCTTGTTGTTGTTGTGTTCTCTCCCCGGGTCTCAGCGGAAGGGCTGGCTCTGCTGGCTGTGCCGGGCGGCGAGCGAGACGGCGGCCGGGCGGCTCCGAGGAACGACGCCGGCGACGGCGCTGCTGCCGCCGGGCCCGGCCGAGGATCCGCCGGGCCGGCAGGCGGAGCGGGACGCGGCGACGACGGCGCAGCAGCAGCAGCAGCGGGGGCAGCAGCAGCAGCAGCGCGGGGGGCGCGAGGAGGCGCGCGGTGCCCGGCGGGGGGACGCAGAGCGGCCTGGCGCTGCTGCCCCCGCGGCTGCTGCGCCCGGCGGCGTGGGACGATCGGAGAGAGCCGTGCACAGCCTGCACCAGCAGGATCAGCAGCAGCAGGAACAGCACCAGCAGGATCAGCAGCAGGATCAGCAGCAGGATCAGCAGCAGTATCATCATCAGCAGTATCATCATCAGCAGTATCATCATCAGCAGGATCATCATCAGCAGGGTCATCATCAGCAGGATCAGCAGCAGCAGGATCAGCAGCAGCAGGATCAGGAGCAGCAGCAGGAGCAGGATCAGCGGCGGCATCAGCAGCAGCGGCATCAGCAGCAGTATCACCATCAGCAGGATCACCATCAGCAGGATCATCATCAGCAGGATCACCATCAGCAGGATCAGCAGCAGCAGCAGGATCAGCAGCAGCAGGATAATCATCAGCAGGATCACCATCAGCAGGATCAGCAGCAGCGGCACCAGGAGGATCAGCAGCGGTATCAGCAGCAGTATCATCATCATCAGCAGGATCAGCAGCTGCTAAACATG